ACTCCAATTAGGCTCCTATAAGCCTTTAATGATTGTTATTAAAACGAATTTGTTGACTCATAAATAGGTAGACTTAGGTATATGGACACGTGGGAACCAGAGCCAACTGAGGCAATTGTCGTGCCTATTAATTGCGCCTGAACTCCAGTGGTCATGCCCAGTTCTCGACTCGGTCACATATCAAAAGCGTAGCCAAAAGGCTTGAGAAAAGAATGCCAGGCATTTGTCTTATTCACGCCACAATGAAAGTGAAGGAAGCGGGGCAAAGCAGCGGCGGTCGCTAATTTAGCAAAACTAAAGCAGAAATAAGAGACAGAGTCTCCAAGTCCGAGAACGAGTACGAAGGCAACCAGGCAAATCGGAGGCAGCTATCTTCAGGCAGCACACAATTATATGTATTTGCACAATTTACAATTAACGTATCAAAATCTGTGCGCTAAACTAAATCTAATTACCAACCAGCGCGACTGCAAAGCAAAACATCGAAAGCAGGAAACGAAACTCAATAAGAATGACGAAGCTGAAATTCTCTTTAATACGATTATGATATATAAAAAAAAAACAACAATTCTAACTGAAACCGATTCACCCTTTAAAATAAAAAGTATATAAAATAGCTAACCAATTTAGGGCATAAATATAGTAAGAACGAAAAGAATGTGAACTTGATTTCGCGCATCAATCAATCAGCATAATTTTCAGAGAATTTTGATATATCTGTATACTACTATCTCTTCAACTATTAGAATCGAACATGTTAGAGCAGCTTAATGACTGCAACAAGAACCATATACCTTCAAGTAGAGTATAAAAGAAAAGTGGACGCCAGAGCCTATACCCAGGGGCGGTCAGTGGCTGTGCTCTGGCAATGGCAACCAACGTCGGCTCCCTGGACTTTGGCTAAATGCTCCGACGATGGCGTTGCTGCCATTTGTCAGGCAACGGACCGCAAAATAGTTGCACAGCCGAGCTGCTGGCAGCGTTTTAGTTGTTGCCATCGTTGTTGTTGCTGCTGCTGGAGCTTGACGCGATAATAAGAGCGATGAGGAGAGTTAAGGAACTTCTGGCAGGAACACCAGCAAGAAAATCGCACAGTGTGAGAACCGCTGCCACTCTGCTTCTTTTTTTTGTGTTTCTTTCAGTTTTTCGCGTGGAAAATAAATACCAATCTACATAAAAGTGGAAACCAAATAAAAAAAACAGTCGACAGTCGGAGCTGGCCATTGAAAAGAAAGAAACCTGCTGCCTGCTTCTATTGAGAGCAGTCCAACTACAACAACAGCAACAACAACAGAGGAAAAACCAAAACCAAAAAAAAAAAGTGGAAAAGCAAACGAAGCTGGAAAAAAAAGCAGCGGTTGTCTGGACTGGACGGGACCCGAAACTGGGAGTTGCACTAGCAACTGGATAGTTGTTGGTTGTGGCAACAATTTTGGAGCAGAGGCCGGACCCCATCTAGTTTTGATGAAATTGCTCGAAATAATAGGGTGAAAATGCTTCGGCTGCCTTCCTCTGATGCTGCTCGGCCGTTTTTCTGTGTGTGTGTGTGTGTGTGTGGTGCCTTTTAACTCTTTCGCGCTTTGCTTGTTGCCTGTGTGCGTGTGTGTGTGTATGCAAGAGCAAAGGCGTCACCAGCCCTACTACCAGCTCCACAGCGCCAGAGCTCGCGTGCTGGCTTCGACGAGAGTCAAAAGCGGTTGGCACAAAAGTTTGAATTCAAACAGCGCCGCACACGCATATAGACCCACCCAACGCTCTGTAGGAGATTTGGCTGGGGTTTTTATAGAAAAAAATTAGCCAAAAAAAATGCTTTCCAACTAGACATGTTGAAAACGAAATACTCTTATGCAATGAATTCATTAGTTTTATGATTGAAAAACTTAACAATAATTTCATAATGTTAATTAAATTACATATGTAACAAAGCCTTGTTTTACCAGAAATTAAAAAGTTATTAATTAAGCAATATTCAGACGTTAGATAGCCTGTTTTCGGAATTATATCAAAATGCTTAGCCAGCTTAAAGATGGATCTCATCTAAAATATATTTAAGTAAGCATATCTCAGGCCGTCACAAATAATCTGATAAGCTCATAATATTGTCTGTTAGAGTATAAATATGAATGGCTGTGTATAGCTTAAACTGGGGCAAGCAAAAAAAAAATGTTGGTGCGGCTGCAGTGAAAGATTTGTGGTGCTGTGGTTTTTGGCTTTTGGGTCTGTGTGAAATTGGATCTGTGCTGTTGCAGCCGTTGTTCGTCGTTGAAGTTTGACTTGAAATTGCATAACAAAGCTGAGATTTCTATGTGGTTTGAATATGATTTGAACATAAAGGAATATTTGACTTCAAAGCCATGCGAGTTGCTTTTGTGGAATGCGTGTGTTAACAAGTGAATTTATCTGTTTGAGCAATGCAATTATCTCTACTGAGGGAGCAAAAAGAAACATTGGGCTAGACATTTCGCTTCTACTTTTATTATAAATCAACTGAAACATTATCTTAGTTATCCTGGGATAACTAAAATAAATTAAATTTAAATTCTTTCTATCACACAATAAAAAATGCGCCACCTTTTACATTACAACGAAGTCATCCCTCACATTTGCGCTATAAAAGCTTATAAAAAAATACTTGAATGAAATATGCAAAGCCCTCACGAGACTACAACATTCCTCCATTCCCCGCTAACAAACTACCAGAACCAGGCCCATTAATTTGCTGAGAATTGAACGAGCTTCTATGTGCCCTATTCTCGCCCCTGCCCCTGCTCCCAGTCAGCTGGCCACCTGACCATCTTCTGCAAATCAATTACTTTAATCAATTTTTAACACGTTCGCGTCTTTGCGCCCAAGACGGACGCCTTCTTTGGTTTGCACAATCCGGCTGAGTTTTTCTCATCATATTTTTGTCGGGTAATTTTTTGTTCAAATTTTAATTATAAAGATTAAATACGGGCATGGAGACGAGTCGAAACAGCAATGTGCGACTAACTAACCTGACATAACAAACTTGAAATAATATTCAAGAATTTTTATTGAAATAATAACCGCGATGCAGGTAGAAACCAGACGCAGACCGCGGCACCCAGACGGAGCTACCCAGAACGAGGCGCAGTTCGTCAGCGGACATCAAAGGCGGAACACGTTCGTCTGGGACGAGAATGAACTGGACGGCTGGCTATGGGTCTAATGGGGGCGACGACAGCCTGTCATCGTTTCAAAGTTCTCCTTCAGACTCGCTATTTTCTAATTGAAATGTTCAGCACCATATTTCTGCGCATTACCACCTGCTGCTACAGAGAAGCCGCCCGATTCCAGTTCCCAGTTCCCAGTTTGCAGCGCCCTTGTGCGCCCTCCTAGCCAGGCTGCAAAATGCAACAACAGCTTTGCTAAATAGTTCACTGCCTGGCCTCGTAAATTGCGAAACCAAACCGCAAGAACAATGCGCTGCACTGACCATCATCAACCGACCAACCGACCTCGGCACCTTAACCACCATCGTCATTATCAACGCCAAGTTGAGCGCATGATAAAAGCAGTTGAGAGACTCGATGCGATTATTTTGTTTTTTTTTTCTCCTCAACACTTTGGCATTTTTCTATTCGCCCCAAAGTAAAAAATGTATACCTTTTTTTACTTTGTGATGCCCCGTAATTGTGATGTGTATGTGAGCATATCGTTTGAAAGCTTGAAGAGTATATGATGAAGAGTATATATGTACATATATTGTAGTTAAAATATAATTTTTAATGACATAGCAAGTAGAGCTCTTAATATGTATATGCTTTTAAAGAATAGAAGTTGCAACGTTGTGAGCATCGAGATCGAGTAATATGCTTATATTTTATACCTCGTCATTAAAGTTTAAATAAATATATCAGAGGGTATCTTATCTTTCATGCATACCGCTTGCCTTTTGCAGCCCTATTGCACTGGTCGCTCGTTTCACCAGCTGCTCGGCGATTTTCTAGGAAATAATTTTCTTTTTTTGCTTTACAGTTTTCATCGTCGTCTCGTCTAGTTTACATCTTCATAGCCGCCTCGTTGCTCCACAAAACTGGGCTGCCCCCATCTCTGCACGCCGCGCTGTCGGGGCACTGTCACACCTGTCACTATTGTGGCTGATCACAACAACCGCCAACAATGGAGACGGCCATGGAGATGGAGTTGGAGATGGAGACGGAGACAGAGACGACCTCGCCCAGTTCCATACACGTCCAAGTCCTAAGGACTGGCGGACAAGGTGTGAACGTCAAATAATCACCTTCGCACACGGCATGCCCACAAAAAAAAAGTTGAATAAAAGAGCGACTGGCGAAGGAAGTCAATCGGAAGGCGGGAGCTGGCTGCTTGCTTTAGATTTTCACGACTCTCGACGTTGTCGCTTTGGTATTTGCTTTTCGTAAGAAAATTTGCGCATATTTCCCGTGTTTTTTGGTTTTTTTTTTTTGAGGTCTGAGGCGTTGGCGAAATGTGTGAAATTTCAATAGAAAGATGCAGCGACAGCAGCAGACGAAGACGCAGATGTCTGTGGCTGTGGCTGCGGCTGCGGTCTCGCCTCCAACTGCCAGCTACGCGGATGTCTGCGACTCTTTCACTGCTGCCGCTTTTGTTTGCATAATTATTTTATTGTACGCAGGGCGGGCAACTGGCAACTGGCAACCGGCAACCGGCAACTAAGGTAACCACGCCCACAAAACTACATGCACGAGTGCGGCCCGCATGAATATTAAAACAAAGACGTTTTCGTTTTCGTCTTGCCTCTTTGCTGTTGTCGCAACTGTTGCAACTGTTTCACCAAGTGCCCCAAAGCAATTGAGAAACTCCCCCAAACCTACAACAAAGTCTAGACAATTTTGCTGGGCTCCACCAGAAAAACTTTGCTTCGTCTATTACCCTTCTTGGGGCTCCACTGACGGTTTGGCTGTAGGCATTTCTTCAATTAGCGTTTTTATTATTTTTAATTAACAATTTTGCAACTTAATCCTGGTGCAAGTTGTAGTGTGTTGAAATTTTCTGCAGACATAATCGAATCAGTAAAGGGGCTGCATAATGCCTGGCTAAAGTTTGTCTAAGGACAACAGCGAACAACTTTTGCGGAACCCTAGACATGTGCATAATTATATTAGGCCCAGGACAGGACAGCACAGCATAAAGCGGCAAAAGACTAAAAGGGTGATCCAACAGGATGAACGGATGGCTGAAGAAATGTTGCCAAACAGCAGACAAACCGTCAGACATCGCTGCAGGCGCATTTCAAGATACTTGAAACGGCAAAAAGAGACGAGCACACTTAAAAACTACGAAGAATTAAGTTCTGCAGACTGGAAAATGGACAATTACCGCGCAGATCCTATTACGTGCCGAGTCAAAGAAATTGTATATGCATTCGGAGAATAAACACTAATTACATATGTCTGTATGTACCTGTTTCTATATATAAGCATATGCTATCAGCAGCGAATATTAGATATAAGGTTTAGAAGTGATTTTATACGAAAGCTTTATTTCCAAGCGATTATTCGCAAAGGAGCCACATGACCCGCTTGGAAATAGTAAAGAAGGTAATTGCCGAGTGTTTATACAGAAACATACTTTTCCATACAACTGGGCAGTATATTTTCACACATTTTCCGCCATCGGCTAATTACTTTCTCTTGCGATGAATATGAGCATTTGGACTGAGTTCAGGTGCCGGTTCTTGGTGCATTAACTCATCACAGTAGACGCACAACGTTTTCAGTTCCTTACAGCAGTCCCTACAGTACGGCATGCCGCAATTTTCACAGAACACAAATTTGTTGTCCTCCCGAGCATTGCAAGTGAGGCAACTGCGCTTGGCGCAGTTGTAATTGGCTAGCCAGCCAAATATTTTCGGATAGGACAAGCGCAGGATCAGGCATATATTGATTCTGCCCTGAACATGCCTTGAGGCCATATTCTCTTCGGCCCTCTTGCGCATCACCTCCCTATAGGAGTGGCGACAGCGCAGAATGGAACTGTAGAGAAAAAGTATGCGCCATTTCTCCCGCTTGTAATAGAAGTGACTGCAAATGACGCGACGCAACCGCTGGAAGGTGGTGCTCACATAGACAAGCATCAGGATGATCAAATAGAGTAGCAACAATTTGATGTAAAAGCTTCGCGGCAGCACATGCGGCTTTGGCAGACACTCCTCATTGCTCAAGGATGTCGAGACTCTCTCGTGTATATTAAAGTTTTTCATTGTGGTGCGCAGCAGTCGTGCCATCAGTCCAGTGCCATTGATCTAAGAGTTGAATTGAAGAACGATATTACTATGAGGGCTGGAGAGAAGGCTTCACTACTCTCACATACACGAAAGCGAACCTCGTGCTCACCCTCCTGTTGATAGGTGATCAGCGAGCGTTTGTGAATAATTCGCAGTAGATTAACAACCAGTCGATCTAGCAGAATGAATATACCAGCTGTAATAACCTCCAGTGATAGCTGCAACAAATGGAAAAAGTCAGTTCTTCTCTCGTTGTCGGTACGGCTGTTAAGTTCTTCCACATCCACAAACATGGGCCTCTCATGGCTGCGCAAGGGTAAAAGCGAAGGTTTTTGTGCCAGCTTGCGGCGTGCATCCACGTGCTTGAAATAGTCCGTTATGTAAAAATTATCAAATTCCACATTGATACAATATTTGTAATGGTATCGAATCGATGTACAAATCACGCCCAAAATGAACAGGTACAGAAATTTCTCAATAATCATCATCACAAAACTAAGTGTACGCCTCCTGCGCTCAAAATCCTTGATAAACTGCTCCGATGTCTCTTGAGCACTAAGCAATTGCTCTGACGTGGTCACGTTCTGCATCTGATAGGTGATCTCAATATTCGAGCTATTATCATACAGCTGATGTTCCGCGACCAACAGATTTACATAAGTCTCGCCGAAGTTGGAGGGCACAACCTTAGGGTAAGAGAAAGGTTAGAAAAGATGCATAGATGTGCCGCTGAAATCCCTCAACGAAATTGTATTAGGTCAGTAGTGTATTAATCCAGAGTTGAAGAATTCAACATTTTATACATATTCCTACCTTTGAGGCATCGCACAACTTATCTGGATTTCCAAAAATATTGACCCTGCATATAATATCGACGCGATAGGGCCAGCAAACGACACTGGCTAGCCAGTCGGGAAAATTGGTAGCACATTTGCGATAACCCTGTAGAAATATTTCCCGACAAACATGATGACCACTACGCAGCTGATGTTTACAGCGATTTCGCATATTTCGCACAAACTTCGCCTGCACTGCAGAAGCTTTGGGTAGTGGGTAACTGGAATTGTTAGAAAACTCGTTGGTCGCATTGGCAGCTCGGCGATGCTTGCTGTTGCCGAATTTATCATCCTCGATGTCCGTGTACTCCACGCCGTATTTGAGATCTTCGAGAATGGTCTGCAGCTCCTTAAAGTTGCCCTGAATCTCGTCCAAGTCTTCCTTCATCGTTTGCAGTGTGTTCGTAAAGGGTTTGGCCATCAGATCGAAACGGGTCTTGGTCAAATTGTATGTGAGTATCGTAGTGCAGGCAAACACTCGCGCCACCTCGCCGGCATTCCTCACCAGATTGTCAATGGGGCCCGAAATCACAAGCGCAAATGCCGTCGCACGAAGATAGCTGCGGCCCGCATTGCCCAGCAGACCGACAAATATCAATAATGTCACCACACGCACACTGCGACTGAGCAGATAGGCGAGTCCGTTGAACAGCAGAAACACCACCAACACCACCCATTCTGGCACAACTGCGGCATACAGTTTGCCGAAATGACTGCTGAATGCAAAGAGCATCCACATCAAATAGGCCAGCACCACGCCCGTCAAGAAGCTGCACAATCTACGCATCAGCCGAATCCATGCGATGTGATCATTGTCGTGTCCATAGATCAGACAGTAAATCGGTTCGCATACCTCTGCTATGAAACTTCGAACTAGCTTCGTTATATACACAAGCATTATGACTTGAGAAAATGCAAGGATTTACTGCTCACATATAGCATTTATCCGAAAACAAGCTTCTACTGATTAGAAATTGGGATACTACTATGAATGAGATATTACGTTTTCATACAGTTGGAAACAGCAAACTAATAAATTGATCTATTTGTGTAAGCGTCTGTCTTGTCTTAACCGTCTGAGTTAATGGCCAATTGTGACCACTGACCAGCTCGAAGAGATAGAAGGCCGCATTTTGACTGCACGCTAAGTTCCGATTTTGGAAATATATTATGCACCCTAACAATGCCTTTCTTGAACTGTTCTGGGAGAGTAGAGTCGGAGTCTCATCTTCATCTTATAAAGTCATCTATTCTAAGCTATTTAGCAAGTAGATAGTCCAAGTATTTAGTCGTAGTTATGCTATTCGCTTTTGCACTTCACGACTAAGTCCCACTAATATATTTATAAGGCGGGACTAAGAACAAATTGTTTGCTATTGTTTAAAAAAAGGAGTTTTTCCTCTTAGCTGGCCAACAGGGTGCTCGCTCGACCTCCGCTTGTTTAAATTGTTTACAACTAATCCTCGACTTAACTATTAATTTGTTGTTGGTCTCTTTGAACCATACACGATTATGCATATAGATTATGTTCCATACAAAATGATTGGCAATATCTACAAATATGTATGAATGATATCTAAAATCCTCCCTTTTTATATTTTATATGAAAATTAATTAATTTTCACTTCATGCCACTCATCCAAGTGTAATCTTTGAGTAGCAAAAACAAATTGGCAACAGATATGTGAGTTTATAATCTAAGAATAGCCGCTTCCAAGAATTCCTTAAGCCTACAATATCTGTTTTATCTCAAGTGAAAAACACTTAAAACACAAGTAGTTTAAGCTCAAGGTTAAACGGAGGATTAACACAGTGGGGCGAGAATGAGAGGAGGCAAGTGGAATCACATTAAGCTGCCTCAATCGACGCAGCTGCGTTTAAAGCTCACGAACTGCCTCACTTTTAACCGTTTTATGGCGGCGCACTCCGAACTGTTGCCACACGCAACATGGGCAATTCCCCAGTCTTACTTTTTGGGCCCCGCCCGTTGTCATTTAAGAACAGCCGCCACCGCCGCCTCTGCTGTGGCGGCTGCCGCCCCAACGGACTCTGTAAATGACTGCAGCTCCGACGATGCGCTCGTTAAAAATGCCAGACCAGCAGCAGGCCAGACAAGTCCACACATTCCCAGACCGGACCAGACACAACAACCTGCAAAAATATTCGCGTATGCTCAGTTTAATGTACGCAATGTGCGCAAGGTCCTTGTCGAACCCAACAGAACAGAACCGAACAGAGCAGAACAGAAACGGTATTTAATCCAATTATAATAGAGCAAAAGGAACTTTTGCACCTGCCTTGTCCCTTGCTGAGAGGATTCTAAAATAAAAATTGATTACATGCGTGTGTCTTGGTCGCAATGAATAAATTTTGCAGCCTGGATGCGATGCAATGGCTGGCAGCGAGAGAGATGGAAGCTTGTTTGTTTTGCAGGCGAACGTTTAAAAATTTATGAACTGCACCGCTGAGCGATAAAATGCATCAAAATCCGCCAGCCAGCCAGCCAGCCTGGCAGCTAGGCAGTCAGTCAGTTCCAGTGGCCAGCACCAAATTGGTGCAGTTGCTCGTCGCGCTCGGCGATGCTACTCACTGAATATTAAACAGACGGGCAACAATGCAGCCAGCTCCCAACGGCGGCACTTCATCAGCCCAAGTCGTGCTAAAAAATTGATTGATCCTTGAAGTGCAACCGAATGGGGGGGGGGGGGGGGGGGGGGGGAGCTGAAAAATGATGCCCGCGACCAGCAGCTCCTACTGGGAGGTGAGCTGGGTCTTTGACGACATCATCTCGCGGGCGTGGCTGTGAGCTGCTCAGCACACACATTAAAACAATTTAAAATTCCAAAAGGGCAAGACTAGACGTTGCACAGTGGGTCGACTAAATTATTCAAAGTCAAAAGTATGCTCGGAGAGATGTGTATATATTACAAACTGTTTGTCCTGCCTGATGTCAGAGCGTTCGATTCGCAAGCTTATTGTATTATCTGCCAAACTATTTTGATAGCACGTAAAATAAAATAAATATATGCAAATATAATTATAATAAGCCCTAAAATGACCCTGTTTGTCTTTCTATTTTATGCTTGGCCACAGTGCTTCGGCAAGAAAACCAAGCAGGGCCGCTGAACCCATTGTCCAGGCCAACTTGTGTTAGCTTTATATGCATTAAATTGTCAACGCGTTGACTCTCTACTATGCTTAAAGTTGTGCCGGCCATGAAATTGCTTTGGTGGTGCAGACAAAAAAGGAGTCGCTCCCAGCCAGGCAGGCAGGCAGGCAGCTCCGCCTCCTCGTTGGTCAGTCAGTCAGTTAGAGTCGAGGCGCAGTCAGTCAGTCAGATAGTCAGTCAGTCAAGTCGAAAAGCGAATGAATGATGAATTGCCTGTCACTTGCAATTTTTGTAGCAGACAAAACACGGCTACAATGTCGAGGCTCGTCTTCGTTGTCTGCGTCTTGTCGCCTTGTTTAAATTGTTCATGTTTTTCTAGAGGCATGGCCCAGGATTTGGCCAAAACTCCACGTGAACACGATGCGCGCTGCCGACTGCCGACTGATTTCATGGAATTTGCGTTAAAAGGCGGCAACATCATTGTCAACCGACGCGTCGCCAGCTTTTTGGTTCGGGCACAACTTTTTTGTATGGTCACAACTGCAAAATTTAATTGGGCGGCAACTCCACAAAATATGAAACATTTTTGGCAGAAATTTCGACAAAAGAAAAACATATTTTTAGCAAAGAATTTTGTCAAACAATGTGCAGAAAATCAAAAAGAATGCATTGCGCTTGGCAGACGCAAAAGTCAGCGAAGTTATTGTCTTAATAATCCTGCGATCAAATATTAATGTAGCGACTGGAAATTGATATATATGATACTACACGATAGATCTTGCTCTTTAATCCTTTAAGCTAAGAGGTTTCTGCTTTCCTTGACTCGTACTTCCAAATAAACATAAATCTCACAGCATGAATAATAATATTCTACTCTATCTATGGAACGCATATCTTTTGAGACTCCTTGAAACTATTGCAAAGTCTAAGCCATGAATAAGCGAACACTCAGCCAACTTTAAGCCAATTAGCGCCACTAATAAAAAGCAATAAATCAGCCGAAATTAACCAAACACAACAACAGCAAAGTGTACAAATAAAATTGTGCACTGCACTCTGCACATTTGTCAAAGAATTAACCCTTTGCAAAGGGTTAGGAAAGAGCGAAGGAAAGAAAAAAAGCAGCCAATATGAAAATGACATTAGCCAAGCGCCGCCAGACTGCGGCTAGACCGAAGGCAGACAGTTGAGGACACAGGAAGCCGGCAGCACGGGAGGCATTGGGTTCGGGCCTGTGTCTATGTCCGTGTCGGCTGTCTACACGCAAAACCACTTTTAACTCGTTTACTTTATTTATGGCCATAATTTGTTAAGCAAAAGGTCGAAAACTAAACTGGCGACTAGCGACGAATGGGCGCAGCTCTCGGGCGGACGCGGACGCGGACGTGGACTTGGACGCAAACGTGGCAAGGTGCGATGCATAATTAAGATAATAAAATATTAATTAAAATTAAGTTCATGCATATGCAAACACAGTGACAGCAATGCCCAGCGAGAGCCAGCACAATCCAAGTACAAATATTTGCGTTTTGCTTTGCCTGCTGATGATGACGATGATGATGATGAAGATCACATCACGTTGATTAGAATGGGGCATGATAATGTGTGCAACGCCGACGTTGATAGCCTCGTTATTGGCACTAGAGAAGCATAAACGAGACTCGCCCTAATTAATTAATTAAAAATGTACAGCGAGTTTTTCCTCTTTTGTTATTGTTTTTTTTTTTTTTTTTGTTTTTTCCGTTTTTGTGGTTTTATGCAAATTTGAGATACCTTTACATTAGACAAACAGAAACTCTGTGCACCTGCCCAATGCGAACGCCCGCCCCCATTCTGAGAACCGTGCAAATGAGTAGGCCCAAAGGGTTTGTGGAATGTGTGGCGAAACGAACGCCATGGGGGACAACAGACGTTTATAAATGTCAATCAGAGATGGGACTTTGAAATACTCTGAAATACAATTGAGACAATTAAATTATTGAATTATTTTTATTAATAAAGATAATGACAAAATGCGCAAAAGCTTCTTTTTAAATCCTTTCAAAATATTCTGATTAACTATAAAAATAAATAAATTACATTAGATTAGAAAATTAAGCAACTATTGGAAAGAGCATTAAGATATTGGCTACGACATGCCCACAATTGAGTTATATTTTTCATATTGTTTAATTTATTTGTTAGGAATTTTTCGTCGGCTAATGGATGTTTGCTGTTTGCCTTCAGCTTAAAAAAAAGAAGAAAAAAAAGATCCACAAAGCGCGAAATGTGATACATTGTGGTTTTTCAAAGTTGACGTCTTGACGTCTGCGCATAATTTATTTGGACATAGGTATTTTTAGATAATACTTGGTTGTAGCCCGGCGCCTAATCACTTTACCTGTCACATATGTGGGCATCTAATTGGTGAATATTTCGTCCCCACGGCCAATTTAAACGTCAATCGAGCCGTGAGTGAAAGCGAAAGCAGCGAACACTTCCCGTAGCTAGCTGCCCCCCAAAAATCATTTTCGACCACAATTGAGCCGCGACCCAAACCAAAGGCCGAACTTCGCGCCATGATTGATGACGACCCGCGTCCAGTTCTGCCCAGCATTCTGTTTGTGCTGCATTAATTAACCAATTTAGTTTGGTATTTTATTTGTGTTCTCGTGCCCAAAAATGCTTTCCAGTGCTTGATTTCAAATTTATGCAGACACAAATTTTTCAAAATTTCTATTATTTTTTGCAGTAATTATTAACATGCATAGCCCCTAGCAGAGCCCATGTCACGCCTTATCGCCAGCTTTCACTCTTTTCCCCAACACCCTTTTTTT